GCTATGGTTTTTCCTGTAGTGACGTATCGAAGTGAGAGCAGGGCTATAGAGAAGGCTGACCACTGAAGAATTGATGCTTTTGAATTGTGGTGCTGGAGGACGCTTTTGAGAGTCCCCTGGACTGCAAGGAGATCAAACCTATCCGTTTTGAAGGAAATCAACCCTGAGTGCTCACTGGAAGGTGAGATCCTGAAGCTGAGGCTCCAATACTTTGGCCATCTCATGAGAAGAGAAGACTCCCTGGAAAAGACCCTGATGTTGGGAAAGTGTGAAGGCAAGAGGAAAGGGGGGCGACAGATGGTTGGACAGTGTCATTGAAGCTACCAGAATGAATTTGACCCAACTTGATCACTGACTGTAAATTCAGCCTAATGCAGGCTGTGAATCAAACCACAGCAAATCTGAATCAGAGCAACCCAGCTTGCCCGTGTAGTTGCAGCTTTGGTTTGCTGTTCTTACATGCTGCCAAGTCCCCTTCAACTTAGAGTGACCCTATGAAGGAGTGATCTCCAAAACGTCCTGCCCTCAACTGTCCTGTTCAGCTCTTGCAAACTCCCGCGGCTTCCTTTGAGAGGTCAATCCACCTCTTATTTGGTTTTCCTTTCTTCTGGTTGTCTCCTATCTTTCCCAGTGTCATGATCTTTTCCAGAAAATTCGGCTTTCTCATGATGTGCCCAGAGTACGATAGGCTTAGTTTCAACATTTTGGCCTCCAGAGACAGTTCAGGCTTGATTTGCTCATGGGCCCATTTGTCCATCTTTCTGGTGGTCCAGCAAAGCTCTCCTCCAGCGCCATATTTCAAATAAATCAATATTTTTCCTGTCGACATGGTTAATTGTCCAGATTTCACACCCACAGACAGTGTGAAATGAAAATTCAAGAGCGTGGAGGATCTTGGTCTTGGTTTCCAGTGACCTACCCCTACACTTGATTATATTTTCTAGTTCCTGTGTTGCTGACCTTTTGAGTCTCAGACTTCTTCTGATTTCTTGACTATACTCTCCATTTGGATTTACTTTGGTTTACATATTTGTTTTTAATATGTGGCAAGACAGTGAGCAGGCAGGGGGAAGGGGCCCGGACTTCTTTGGTTAAAACAATGCATCTTGCCCTGTGTTTATTAAAACATTTTATTATTTTTTGAGACATACATACCTACAGAACAAACAAAAACCTACAAGACAATCAAGAACACATAAGACCAACAAAACATATAAGCGGGGAGGTATTTCCCATACCAACTTATCTATTATATAATTTCTGACTACAGGAGATCTTATGCCTTATTCCTATACTGCATCATAGTATATCCGTGTGTATCTACACATGTTATATTTCATATCCCTATTTTGTATAACTGATTAAGTGTCTAACGTCCTAAGTTTATAGTAAATTTTATAAATTCCCTCACCTGCATTTCCATCTATCTAAATCACATCATAAACATTTCTCATTTCCTCTTTAAGATTACTTACCCACCAATAGAATCTACACAGGCCAGTTCATTCATCAAAAATCTCCATTCTTCTAAACAGAAAGATATATGTCTAATCTTGTCAACATAGTCACCATTATAATTCACACCTATTTGATATTAAAATATACGTGAATCACAAACAAAAGCATCCAATATTATTATTCATCATCATTTCTAAAATTCATGAATTAGATGTGCTTGTCTAGCATTAAATTTCATATCTGGCCAAATTTGCTTATAGTAAGATTGGCCTCTTGCCTCATTTTTTCATTATTTTTTTTACCAGTTTTGAAACGGCATCCATAATATTTCTTTAAGACATTTTCTATCCGGTTGACTAAATTCATCCTAATATAGTCAGTGTTTTGGTTTTGGAGCAACATAGATCTGTCCGATCTCTGATCGTAAATTTCTGCCCTCAAATTTGCCCATTTCTCCCCCTTTACATTTTTTCTTTCCGGAACAGTCTTGAGATACCTTCCCCCTTCCCAGCCCCCCCCCCTTCATCTTTTTAAGGCAACTTTTGGAGAAAAGAAGTCTTCTTCTCTCTCTCTGACGACGGGGGTTGTTGAATAAGTTCCATGGTTTGTCTGTACTACTTTGAGGCAATGTTTCTCTCTGACGATAATGGCTGTTCATTAAAGATTTGGTTGAGTTGTTTGTCCTTACTCTCTTATCTTTTCATGCAGAGCAGAAAAAGTCATCTTCAAGTCTGTTCTGATCTCAGCAAGCTGAGCCTTGAAATGATTATATTGAATTGACATTCTTGAAGAAGACCTTTAAAATAATCCATTGTGTGTTGCAATAATGAGTCTCCCCCTCCATCCATGGCTGTAGCAGTCAGCAGGTTAATTACTCAGATTTCCCTCATGATTTATTAGCTAGTCCGCACTTAAAGTCTTACGAGAGGGGACCCCAAGGTTATTATTTGATTCATAATCCACCTTGTCACTAGATGCAGAGTCACATAGGTTAAATTATGCAGAGTTATTTAGAGCTCTTAAGTCCTGACTTTATAGATTTATGAAAAGCCAGTTTCTCTGGGAGAAAGGGTTAAGAGAGAAAAAGAACAAAGTTGGTTTCGTTTTCCGAGCTGTGACGTAGTAAGAAAACTCCAATGTTACAGGCATTAACAAAGTTATGCCGTTTGAGATCTTCCTTCTCATCAGCTTTCAAAGAGCAGATTTGATCATTTACTTGCTGTAGCTTAGCAGCAGATTGTTAATCTCTGTTCTGCAGTCAGATAATAAATCTTATACCTCCCCTCTCAGCTAATCACCATCATGGCAACTTCACGAGACAGTTGCGTGTGTAATTATGATAATATAAATCCATAAGTTATTAACAGAACATACCAGACTTCACGAGACAGTTGCGTGTGGGAAGGGAAACTCTTCCAAAAGACAGACTGCCATCTGAAATTTGGTGGTTCCAAAGCCCCCACTTGCAACAAGTCCCACTCTTCTGTGGTAACTTGCCCCCCCTTTTCCTGGGGGGGTCCTCTGACTCTGAGTAAACCCAGGGGAATCCAGAACCCCCACCTGCAACAAGTCCCACTCTCATGTGGAACTTGCCCCCCCTTCTCCTGGGGGAGTAACCCTGACTCGGAGTAAACCCAGGGGAATCCAGAGCCCTGGAATTTCCCGTTCTCACTGCTCGTCGCACCGCCCTTCCAGAAAGACATTACTGAGGGGGCCAATTGGGCCTCCCCTAGTTCCACAGCCCAGGATCTCCTACTGAGAAGGCACTCTCTCTTGTTCTCACCAAGTGTATCTGTGCGAGTGGTAGGATTGAGAGAAAAGCTTCCCCCAAATGTCTAAAACTCAGGAAGGCTCATACATGAAGGTATGGTCCTTCCTACAGCCTGCAACCAGGCTCAAAAACCAACACTTTGAGGTAAAAACTTATGTAAAGAACACTTATGTGAAAAACCAGCATGGTTCAAATGACCAAGTGTTGCAATGTCAGGCTCATTATTTAAGTACAGTAATGTTTCAAGATGGAGATTCCAAGCTGTCTACATCAACACGAAGTATTAGGTTTCACCTCAGACAATGTGGAATGAACAGTCTCATGTCTGTAGATACAGAGTTGCCAACCAGCTAGTGCATCCTCCAAATGTGGCACCATCAAGATACTGCTTTAATGTCAAAATCAAAACATCTGGCTGAATTGTCCCCATAGATACTTACAAGTAGTCCTATTTAAGAAGGACAGGCTAACGGCTGTTAACTATTGCCATCTAAGTTAATTTGTGGATTCGGCCCCTGAATATTTAGATCCCACTTAGAACAGTTAGCAGAGAGCACTTCCTCTTTGCAAAGAAAGGACAACCAGACTTCTTCTTCTACTGGAAATACTAAAGGCAGTATTTGTTAGAGAAATATATTGCAATAAGAAAAATAATAGGAATCCTAGTTCATGTTATCTAAGGGGGAGATGCAAGGAGCTATGACTTCTCCCTAACCTTTTGTTAAAGAGAACAAAAGCAAGATGTTATCATCTGTTCAACTTCAGAAAGGTAAAGAAATGTGAAGATAGGAAATTACATCAGCAGATTATCTGTCTAGGCTGAAGTAAGGTCTGCAGAAGTCACAGCAGCTAAACAGTCAAAAAACCTGAGAAGGTCCTTCTGTATCTATTCCTCACCATGCAAACACAAACATCTTTTTCAATATACATTGACTTCCCTCAGTCACTCCCAACAGCTATGCAGCTAAAGATAACCTTCATGTCCACATTGATGTACCACTAAGTGTCAAATGGTGCAATGAAACAGGACTGGCTCCAGCTTGTGGTAAACAACAGTGCATGTTGCTGAGCAATGGTGGAACACAGAGGGCTATTGGTGCAGTTCAGCAAGGTGGCTATACAAATAGTGCAATTCTCCCTCAAGTGTTATTTTAACATCTCAAATACTGTTATAAAGATTCCTCCCTGACAGAAACTTTCATTAAGGTCCTATGACTTACAAATACTATAGCCATCTTTTCAGCTGAAAGAAGTAAATAGAAAATTAAAAACAAGTACAGTATAGTACCAGGCAGCAATAGAGGATTATCATATTTCCTAATTAAAAATGGATATCAGTTATGGATCAGTGTCTAAAACAGCTGAATGCAACCAATTATCTAGTTGTTCAACACTGTGTTTGCTCTTGGATGGAGACAATTCACAAAACAGACACCCTAAATCATCAGAAAAGACAGAACTACGGAATTCAGTTTTATTCTACAGGTTTTGATCAATGCCAATGATACAAGTTTTCATTAGATACAGGTTGATTTTCAGATTCCAATGACTGTATGGTTAATGAAAGGCAATGCAGTTAACAGTTAAGTCACTCAGCAGTTTTGGACCACGTGTTTTAGACCTGGAATCACTGGTGGTCATACGGCAGAAAAAACTAAGTATGCACAATATTTGCTGTTGCCATCTTCGGGTACAACAGACTTTTAATTTATATTGAATCATGAAAAAATAATACCCAAAGTGCTTAAGCTTTATTTGGGGAAATTCATGCAATTAGTTTTCCTTCAAAGCTTGATACTGCCTGCAGAGATAAAATACCTGGAAGGAAACTAAAAATGTTTTTCCAAATGATCTTTAATGTTGTTATCTGCCTGAACAATAGTTCTTATTAAACCCACCATCAAAAGGTTAGATAAGCTAATTATTGCTTAAAGAAATGTCAGTGCAAATGTCTACTTTATTATGCCTTCACAGCTGTAAAATCATCTACTGTGTGTGTTAACCCATCCCTCTATAGACTACTAAAATATTTCTCAGTCTGACAAAATGTTGAAGTTTGTCATCTTTGTTGCAGGGATGATTCTCAAAGTTAACTATGGGTCAAACCTATAATTGGTATAATACCACCAAGCCTATCAGAATTAATTACATTTACTTGAGGAATTACCAAAACATACAAGTAGTCACATGTCATCAGAGCTATATTTCTGCAAGACGACATTCCAACACCAGCATGAATTTTTATTATTAATTCCAGCTTTTCACCATTTACTTTAATCTGCTGTGCACAGTAGAATACTTTTTCAGTTTTTTTTAGTAGAACCATTTTGTAGCACATAACATGCAGCCCCTTCTAAGAAGGCAAGCAGCAGCAAGTTTTAAAACAGTATCTTAAACTTAGTTTGTAGGATTTCAGTAAAAGTCCAGTAATCCTGTTTAAAATTCTGGTGGTTGCATGAAAGCAGATCACAAACACATCATGCAAGCATGTACATGAGCACACACATAATGGGGAATTTTCGTAGCTCCCACAGCTAGAATATAGCTCACTCAAAATGAATAATAATCCCTTGTGTCAATGTGTAGCAGGAATAAAAATCCAGTTCTCCTTCCTGGACATGAATTGTTTAGAGCATAATATATAGAATCAAGTTTGTTCCTTTCCAATGAATTCCAGCAGTTCAGTCATAAACTACCAGTTTATGAATTATCACAGTATGTCTCATCCCACCTAAGTGAAACCATTTGTTTGGTCCTAGGACAGACTGTTAATGAGGAAGACATTAAGACAATGAAATATAAGGAGCCCAACTCCATGACTGTACAAAACAAGTTTTCTTTGTTTTAATAAGTATTTAATACATGTCAGGTGCATCTTAGGCAAGAGTGAATTAGACCATTTGGACCAGATGCGGTACACACCTCAGGTATATCTAAAGTATACCTTTTAATTCACTCTTCAATGATTATCTGATCGCCAAATATAGCGCTAACAGTCATCAAGAGAGAAATGAGAGAAGCTCTCATTTATGATTTTTTCTTTCATAAAGGTATAAAAAGTTATTGTTTCTCTAAGTTTCTTAAACTTACTTCAAAATGAACTTCGCATACCCAAACAAATGTCATATTTTAAAAAAACCAAGTTGCACACACTCACATTCAAAAGAACACATGCAAAGAATGGCTAGTAAAAATCCTGCATAAAATCCTGCAATCTTTTTGCCAAATGTGCCTGCTTTGAACACCGTAGGTTTCTCAGTGCATTGGTTGTTGACTTGAGAAAAACATGTCCTCTAGCATCTATATTTGTTAGGATCTGAGGCAAAAGTCTTAGTTACAGTTGAAGTCTTAAACTTGTTTCTAGAAGTACAAACAGAATTCAATAAAATGCCAGGATACAGTGAAGAAAGAAATGCTCTACCCTGTGCCATACACTTTAAAAAACTAGACAAACAAATCTTGGATTTTATTAATACATCCATTTAAAGTTTTTATTTCTGAAAGCAGCTCTTTATGAAAATCAAAAGCAGTTCCTGAGTAACTGCAGTAAACAGTGTCTTTATATATATATATATTTGCCACTCAACTCTTCTGGTTTGGTTCCTTTTAATTCCCTAGTTTTCAAGTTTGACTTCTCCAAAAAGTGTGCAAGTCCATTTAGCATCATTTTCAAGAGTCCACACGATGCTTATTTTCTCTGCAATGTCTGTAAGATCTGCACATTGGGGAGCTGTGTTCCTACAGGTATTGCAATTTCTTCTTGCTCAGAAAATAGTCATCCTTGGATTTTCACGTTTTCTTCAGCATACGTCGGGACTGCCACATATGGAATTTATTGTAGGCCGCCTGCAGCATTTCTTCTATGTGACTTATCAGCTGAAAGAAAGAAAAATTCATGATTATCAGGAATTTAAGTATGTTGATGGATATTTAAGACAAATATTCTAACTCTGAATAGGAGGTGGGTTGCTAAAATGTGGGAAAAGACATGGATAGTGCTCTTCAGGTATCAGCAGCACAGGAACCATAAACTTTATCAATAGACAGACAGCAGTCCTTCTGTTTGTACAAATGACTACTGATTTTACACCTCATAAAATTAAGTTTGGTATCACTACATCTCATAAGTTAATTCTTCAGGTCTCTAGTTTCTATTTTGGCATTCTAGTTTAACTTGAGATATTGTGGCTTCAAACAATAAGCTGGTGTGATTTTTGGCTTGGTTTAATCACCATCTCAAACTCTACAATGCACAGCTTGATGAAGAGTTCTGAGGACTAAGTGGTCCAATAAAGATACAATCCCATCAATTTTATGTCAACAATTCATTTAAAGGAGGAGAAGCTGATCATAGAAAACAAACATCTGACTATTACAGGTGACCAAGCTTCCAAAGCTGCAGAGCTACTGGCACCTCTTTTATAGAGGAAAATAGGCAACATGAAACTTCTGTGTACCAAGATAAGGAGCTATATATACAGTGGTGCCTCGCATAACGAGCGCTCCGTTTAACGACGAATCCGCATAGCGATCTATTTTTTGGGATCGCTAATGCGATCTTGCGATGTTGTGAATGGGCAAACATCGCATTGCGATGATTGGTAAGCGTCTCGCTTACCGATCTTCGCATTGCGATGTTTTTAGAACTGATTGGCGGTTCCAAAATGGCCTCTGGGTGCCCAAAATTGCCGCCGGAAGCATTTTCACGCGCTGCCCTCGCTTACCGAGGCGGCGAAAATGGCGGCGCTATGGAGGATCTTCGCTGAACGGCGAGTTTGGGCCCCACAGGAACGCATGCGTTCCTATGGGGTTTTTGATGATTCCGGATAGCAATGATTAATCCGGAACGGATTAACGTCGCTATGTGGGGCACCACTGTATTAGTGAAAGGAGTCTCTAAAATGTTGGTCTTGCATAAAAATAAACAGGATTTTTATGGTTTAAGTCACTGGTGTTTCTTGGCATTTCTGTGTCACCCTGATGTTGACTTGACCCGTTATATATAGCCAAGAAGCCCATTTATTTGGCTGCTGTTCTAACATTCAGCAAGATTTTGAATTATATTAATACAATTTGCTAAGCTATATGTAAGTGCATAAAGTTGCATTCTTCCACTTACATTTGTGCTTAAATACTGTCTTCGAATTTTGTCCTGGAATGGGCAGAGTTTCGTAACTTGAAATCTTTCCAGATTGCTCCTCATTTTCACAACCTAAACAAGGAGAAATAGAATACACAAGATCAAGCAATTAAATGAAAACCTCTTACCTTAAGTGCACCATTCCTTCAAGGTAGTAATAAAACTGAGTTTGCTGGTTCCACAACCATACAAATTGTCTGCTATTCTCTAATTTCAGCATATTAAGAAGTTGTAACTCTTTAATAATAATAATTGTGAGCCATCAAATCAATTCTGACTTATGGTGATCCTTTCCAATGTTTTTTAGGTAGAGAGTACTCAGAAGTGGTTGACCATTTGCTTCTTCTGGGGGAACTCTGGGACTGTACAGCTTGCCCAAGGCCATACAGTCTGGCTCTTCTGAATTCCCAATCTCTGGCTCCAGTATGACACCTAGCTATCCAGCAAGCTTGCTACTATTTAAACTTGCTTATAAAATATAAGCTGTAACCTGATTAATATACAATGTATGTTGCACATTATATAATTACCTGTATCTGTTAACTTTTAGCCCCTTTTAAAACTAATAGGCAATACTACCTCTTGAAAGTATATGAAAAAAATCAGATTAGAAGTCTAGGCCAGCAACCAAGGTCAGCTAGTTACCAAAGTTATTCAAACAACTTCCTACTGTCTGTTGTTTACAAACAACCATGTATAGCCATGCTTTCCTTCTGTTCAGAACAGAATTTTTGAAGGTGATATAACATTAATTAAAAGAACGTTTTTTATATTACAGTTCCTAGCACATAATGTAGAAGCATGTTGCAATATAAAACAGGGGCTGCAATGTCAATTATGACCATGAGAAATACATTGCCTGCAAATCTTGCCTACCTTCTCCTCGAGGAATGGTGTATTTACAGGAAAGCAAGACCAGAAGTGTCGTAGCAGCTCTCCCACTGCCACATACAAGTGCTTCAATTCAGACTGAATATCATTTGGCACCATTTCTGTAGTTGGGGGGAAAAACATTTAAGTGCCAGATCTGATGGCTACAACATAGGAGGGTCGTTTGCAAGCCAAGTGGTATGTCAATACCATACATACATACATACATACATACATACATACATACATACATACATACATACATACATACATACATACATACATACATACATACATACATACATACATACATACATAAATTGTTTCCGCACATCAGTACAAAGTACTCCTAGAAATATGTGGCTGTTTCATGGCTGGTAACAATCATTTATCAATTCTTTGTTCCACCTGTATATTTCTGTTTATGTGTTCACATTTTTTTAAAAAAAACCTTTTATAGTTATATTGTTTTTAAAATGCTTTGCACTTTTTAATAGCATTATCATACATACTTTCAAATATAAATGGTTACAAATTTTATAAATACTATGCAAATACGATGACTGGAGCATCTTAAAAAACCTTGTTATCCTGCCTTTCTTTTGTAATGGGCAATAGTGGCCCAAATCCTATCTGTTACACCCACTGACATAATGCAATTGGTGTAAATCTTGTTGGCAAACTGCCTCAAGCTGAGAAGTTATCACAGGCATTTGATTTTGTCTATGCTAATTCTTAACCTGCAGCAAATCATCAATGAGATTTATGCCAATAACATTACACCAGTATAAAAGCTCAACAAAACTTTAGCCATTATTTTTGAAAAGCACTAGCGACCAAATAAGGCACAAGTACGTACGATTTATGGCTTGCTGTGTTCCACCCTGCATTAGTTTTCCTCCAGGGGAAAGGGCTGTGATTGTACTACTTGCAGCACCACTAGAGAGAACCTTGAAAAACAGATGACATTTTTAAAAAGAATTTTTAACAGCAAAACAAAACAAAACACAACAAAAATAAATAAAACTAATCCTGAAGATGAATTTAAGGACTTAAATGAATATGTATAATAGTACATTATTTTTACTACTTAGCACAAAATATTCTCTTGGTATATTAAAGTGAGAACTTTATAACCAAGTGGATGTTGTTGATATTAACAGATCCTCTTCAAGAACAGCTATTTCCAAGATTGTATTTTATTTATTTACATTTCTATCCTGCCAACTAGGCTAGGCTACAACTCTGGGTAGCTAATATGTTATACAATGGCTGAAATCCTTTGCTTAGCGTGCTAGATTTGGCCTACTGAATCAGTGGAACTTACAGAACACCTGACTCACCAAATGTCCCTTGAGTCAATTAGGAGCCTCGTGGCGCAGTGGTTAAAACGCTGTACTGCAGCTAAAACTGTGCTCACGACCTGGGGTTCAAATCCCAGGTAGCCGGCTCAAGGTTGACTCAGCCTTCCATCCGTCCGAGGTCAGTAAAATTAGTACTCAGCTCACAGGGTGGGAGGGGAGTGAGTCTTGTTTCCATAATTATGTTGTAAACTTACTATACTAAGCAACAGGATTTTAGCCATTAAAATTTAATTTACATTGCAATATACCTAAAGTAATTCAAATCTTTAATGGAAAAACAAAAGCTATGTCAGAAACCCATCTAAATAGAAATAAACAATGAAACACAACATAAGAATATGCTGAAACAAACCAGAAGCAAACATAATTTTAGACTATAGTTTCCTCATGGCAGAGGCCTGTCCAACTGTCCTCTCAAAGTACCATGCACAACAATGGCGCATGAGTAAATTAATATAATGACAGATTACATGCTGCTGTCTCAAATTGATGCAGCCTCAAAATAGCTGTCCTAATTATGAAAAACTCTGAAAACTAGTGGTTGATTTTTAAAGTTCACATCCAAGTTATTTTCTGCTTGTTCCAGTTTCCTATGTTTTTTAATGTGTTATTAAGATTGCTGTTATCTATGAGCTTTTAATGTATTTGCTTAATTTTTTTTAGTAATGTAATTGCTTTTAACTTTTAAAAAAATAACAGAATTGGGTCTGCCAATTCTGCCTTGGGTCCTTTTTAGAAAAAAGGAAGGTTAAAATGTTTAAAATAAAATAAAATGAATAAAATATTCTGGAGCAATGTATCAATAACTAATGCAAAGGAATATAGAACTCCTTCCACAAATATGCAGTCAAACATCAGTAGCATTTTCCATCCTCAAACTATATGGACATTCATGTTTCCAGTTTGTTATTTCTTTACTTTTAAATTAAACAATCATATTTATCCTACCTGAGTTAATTTGGGTACATAGACTTCCATCTCTTCCCTAATACTATACAACGAATTAATAATATCTTGGCTAGTTGCATATTGCTGTGATTGAATTGGTGTTGGACCATGATAATACCTGTTGTTCAGAAAAGAATTTATAGTTAAAACTGTGGGAATAGGAAGGCAGATTTCTGTGTTTAAAGACTACTTTTCAGGCTCTAGAACCTCATGTTAGCACTCTCTAAATACTGTTTTGTTTTTGGTAAAACCAATACTTTATGGATTTTGAGGAACCAGACAAATTATTTCAAAGCTACAGTGAAAGTTAAAAAACAATGAGCTGATTTGTGTTTCTCTTACAATGTGTTTTGCTCCTACTTAAACTTCACTATAGGGCCAAATATGCTAGTGTCCCATTTCAGCTTGGAATACTTTGACCCTATTTGACACACACAGAGATTCAGACTCAAAGATATATAGCCAGAACTTAGATTTACAATTCCAATAGATGAGTGTCTACTGAAAGCACTATGTCTACTGAAAGCTGTCTTGAAGGCCCACAACTCTGATGCACCAGCCAGAAGGACTTGCAAAAGAAAGCTGGTACACAGAATTTGTCACAAAGTGTGCTATTACATCCAGTCAGAAAACAGAGAGAAGTAGGACTACTCTAGCTGTTCTGCTGGGAGACTAGTTTACCTTGTTGCTCCCTCAACTATCACCCAATTGCAACTATTTCATCAAATTACTTCCGGAATTTTCTATATGGCATAATGGTTAGTACTGTAGCTGCCAACTAACTGTTCTTACTCTACTCAAATATGTGTGTGTGTGAGAGAGAGTGAGAGAGAAACTATGCACGTCCCATGCTTCATGATTTCCCATGCCACTATTCTGTTGTTATATTTATAGCACTTTTTAAAAAACCAAATGTGCTAATGGGCCCAAGAAGTTGGCGATCCCTAGGCTTTCTGAACTTTCCATCCTAGTTGGATGTAGTAAGAACTGGAACTTTACGAACTCAGCTGTGCTTTTTCCTTCTGTGTTATCTCTTTGTCATTTTGTGTCAAGCCTTTTTGATTGTAAGCTTGATCTGCTTTGTAAGCTGCTCTGGAAACCTTTTCAGCTGAAAAGTAGGTTAACATACTTTGAATAAACAAGTGAATAAATAGTCATACTGTAGAAACAGGTATCTATTGCTCCTTCAACTATCAAAGAGATATATATACAGATAGAGTTATAGAGATGCTTAGATATATGGGGTGTTACATGGCTGACTGAATTCTGGCCAAAACAGCTAACATGTACAGTATAAGAAATGGGAGGAATTCTATCCAGACTGCTAAGGGGAAAAAGGAACAGCTGTTTGTAGAAGAGCACACATAAGAGTTTGAGTTGTGCCATACCAGTTCTTTTCAGGAAATTAAAAAAAAAGTAAAATAATGATGAAAAACAGTACAAAAATAAAAACAATCTATATAAACACATTTCCTTATTACTGAAATGTCTTTTTCTGAGAAAAACAGAAGCAGCCAGAAGGACTAATGTTTTGGTAAGCTTAATATGTTGGTACTGCTGTGAGAAAATAATCCAAACATGGAATTCTGACTACAAAACATACCTATCTGATTTCTTTAGGTTTAGTGCAATAGTCTTCATGCTGTTGTTGTTCTCTAGATCTTCATATTCAATAGATTCTTGCAGCTTTACCTGAATGACAAGATATGGTCAAGGGATTGGGAAATTCAACACCAGAAGCAGGATTTCCATGCTTTTATGTTGTTCCTTTAGGGATTACATGGGCAGGCGGCTTTACCTTTTTTAAGGGTGGCTGAAAGAAATCTGAATCCCTGGAGTTTCCATCCATACTGCTGGTCTCATTGCAGTGATCATTTTGTGCTTCTCTGAAAACCATGAATTAAGCATTGCATTAGTAGCTATGAAATCATTCAACAATAATTTAGATACATCTGCACACTGCATGAACACATTTGCTTGTGTGCTGGGCCAGGTTATATTTTACACTAGCTTCACTTTATAGCGGTTTTTCATATACTATTCACTTTCTGGTTTCATTTCAAATTTTCATTTATCTATTACTACAGGAGTTTCCAACCTTGGGTAACCCAGGTATTCTTAGACAGCAATTCCCAGAAGCCTTCACAACCAGCTGCACTGGACCCGGTTTCTGGGAACTGCAGTCCAAGAACACCTGGGCTAACCAAAGCTGGGAACTACTGCATTACTAGGAGTACAAAGAAGAGTATGCAAAACTTTCCTGTGCAATTGAATGTGCCCTGTTAACATGCTTCACTATTACATTATTTTATTCAATCTCTTTCTTCATGTGTTTACATCTGTATTCCAAAGTCTGCGATTGAAAGTGCTGCACATAATATTCAGCATGTGGAACGGAGCCTTTCAGACCAACCCCGATTTCAAAAGCTTTCCCAAAGATCACTGGATCTACCAGAATGGCTTCCCATAAGTCTTGAACTTTTTGCCAGACAAAAAGATGTAATTATTTCTGACTCATCCTGTATCTGTAGCTCTCAGGGCAAAACATGATAGTTAGATCTGGCAAGGACAGAGACTATGAGTTATCTCCAAGTACAACAGCCACCTACACAGCTACCCTCACCCACAAATCTGTATTTCCTGTAGGGAGCTCCATGTGCAGTTCAAGCCATACATACAGTACTTCATACTGAGATATTCTTCTCCCTTTATCCCTTGGATTTCTAGGGCGAGGTGGGGAGAATAAAATCAAAAGATGCCTCTGGTTGCAAGAAAAGTAAACTGATCTATATTTTCTCTTTAGGGCCCCTCTCAGGTCAAGGCCAACATTCAACTGCACATGAAAGTTTTATATCCAGGAGTTTGTATACTTGTCTTGAATGGGATGATAAGAGAGATAAATGTACTAAGACATGTTCTATTGTGACAATATTGTTCCTGGACTTCATTATTTCTAACTGGAGATATGTACCGTATTTTTCGCTCTATAAAATGCATTCCCCCCCCCCAAAAAAATGTGCGGGGGTGGAAGTGTGTGCGTCTTATGGAGCGAATACTGTAAAACAGCACTCCCCAGGGCCCAGCGGCCTCGCGGGGGAGCCTCCAAAGGGTCCGAGAGTGCTTTCCAGGACCCTTTGGAGGCATAATGCCCCCTCCCCGATTGTAGAGGAACAACCCTTTAGCCACCTTATAAGCCTTACCATTTTTACAAAGTGGCAAAATGGTTATTCCTCTATTTTTAAACACAAAAACTGTTACTGCAGTGCTTAGGGCAGCACTGGATTCACAGGCTGCCACATGAATCAGACAGTGATATAACACTAATACTATTTAGCCCTGTGCAAATAGCTCTGTTGCCAAGTTATTCCTTAAGACTTGTGGGGAGGAACAGATCATTTAAAAAAAGTGTAACAGGCTCTCGGAAAATTTTATTTTGAAAAATAAATGTTCAAGTACGCAATCCTACATCTGTCAGTCTTTTTTTTGTGACAAGACTTTCTAAGCTAGGTCAATATTTCTAGTAAAGATATATAATCCAACATGCAGCAGGTGGATACTCTCCCTTCCTGCTTGGGCTTTGCTAGCTGTAGTTTGCCCAGCCCAGCAAACAATAATGTCTTATAAGCAAAACATATGGAACTGTAACAAATGGGAAAACCATGATTTAGACAGAAAGCACTAACCACTGTTTGTCAATCAGGATGCAAAACAAAACAAAACAAAAAACAGAAAGAAGGTAATTCAGACTCCTATTATGGATTTTGTAGAGTTTGACATGGAAGGTGCCAGAGAAACACCATAACCCTGTAAAGAAAGCAATTATAAAATGTTTGAAGACATTCTGCACCATAGGAAATGGAAGAAAATTTGAAACCAGAATCTGTGAATTACTAGTTTTACACAGTCTACAGCATGAGCTGTAACAATAGCATGTTTACCTTATTAATTTATTAATAAATTAAAATAACCTCTGCAAAATCACTGTTTCAGACATTCAACGGCAACATTCTAATGTTTATTTTAATGTATTTTAATAATTGTTTATTTTCATTTTTGTTTTCAGCTCAGCTTCATTTTGTATTTTAATCTTGTTACTGAGTGTTTTTACTGTAAACCACCCAGAGCGGCCTTTGGCCATATGGACAGTGTAAAAAATGCAACAAAAAATAAAATAAAATAAACATTAAGGCTTGTAATTTTTCTCTAGTTTTCAATGGCTAGCATATCCTTTCCCAACAGGGCACCACATGGATTCATTTCAAATTTTAGAAATCTAGATTTATCAAGGAAATCTTTTTCTTCCATTAAAGGACTTCATGTCTTTAACACTTTGATTATAGTGGACCATAAACATGGGCAAATCGTTAGCGAGCAAAAGTGATCAGAGACTATGGGTCCTGCTTGTTTTATCTGAAAACATTTTGGGCAGTAAGTGCCGAGTAGGTTGCTTTCAGCACTACAGTTCTTGTGTGATTGTTCTAGGATAAAACTTACTGTTTTCTGAGTCCAGCTGCAAGGACCATGGCACTGTGATGGTTGAAGCGTTTTATAATGGCAGCATTGCTATTCTCCTTTATTGATTTTGTAGAGTTTGACGTGGAAGGTGCCAGAGAAACACCATAACCCTGTAATTATAAAATGTTTGAAGACATTCTGTACCATAGGAAATGGAAGAAAATTGTGAATTATTACACACGGTCTACAGCATCAGCTGTAACAACAGCATGTTTACCTTATCAATTTATTTAAAATATTTTCATCCTAACCTTCTCCTTAAAAGGACCCAAGGCGGCTTACATCTTTAAAAAGACAGTGTTTAAAAGCTAAAAACGATAAGCATACAAATATTGAAAAAGAATTATACAAGTATTATATTAAAAATGGTACATAAAATCAACACTAAAACACATTTGAAACAACAGAGCACAACAATCCATTTAAAAATCCCTCTCAGACCACCAGTCACCAAGGAAAAGCCTGCCTGAAGAGAAAGGTCTTTGCTTGCTTGTGGAATGACAACAAAGATGGGGCCGGTCTGGCCTCCCATGGGAGGGAGTTTCAGTGTCTGGAGGCAGCAATGGAGAAGGCCCTCTCCCATGTCTCCACCAAGTGTACCTGTGAGGGTGGTGAGACTGAAAGGCCTCCCCTGATCATCTTAATGCCCAGACAGGCTCATAGAGGGAGATGCAGTCTTTTAGATAGCTTGGACCTTACAAGGATTCATTCCTGTATGTATGATTAATCAGGTGAAGCCATTAAGCAGATATTTCAGTTTTCTCCTCTGCGTATGCACATTTGGCCTCTATTTTCCAAGAAAAGTATCATACTACTGGTGCTGGAAACCAAATTGTCCAGTGCCCAATACTGCTTTTGAACTAGCAAAATGGTTTTCAGGAAATCTGTTCCCAATATTCATTAAAGCAAGTGAATCTGCTTATCTTGAAAACTACAAGGACACAAGCACCATATTCTCTCCCTTCTAATACATACATACATTGTATTTTCCTTTGATCATGATGTTCTAAACTTACAAAGTAATAGTACCTTTAACATCTCTTAATTGTCTGTTAAGCAAATCAAATATGCATTATTCCTTAAGAACATCTGTGTTGTAGGATTGGACCAAAGCCCATTTATTCTAGTATTTTCTAGGGTAAAAAAACAGCCCTCAAGATTTGATCCAGTCCCTGTAGACTACAATCTACAGAGATGCTGACAACAGAACCAAGAACTACCATCAGATGGACAACGGTGTTCCCCTTATCCACTCTCAAAAAGTGGCCAGGACGAATCTGTTTCACTGTGTGTAGTGTGGTACTTCAGGCACTTTGGCAAGGTAAGAGTCTGTACAACCTTAGAGCTGGAGAAGGGATAAGAATCATTACACAGTTTCAGGGATGGCTGCAACGCACCTCTGTTGCACAAAAGCTGAAGAATGAAGTTTCTTATATTCCTCATGTTTGGCAAAATAAGTAACATGTCAAACTGAATTATGGAACTCCAGCAAGATGTTCTCTGCTTATTCTTAATACTTTTAGCAGTTACAAGTCATCTGTACTTACCACATCCAATGATTTATCTTCTAAAGAAGTTAAATCTAATAAAGGATTTTTCACCCCTTGAGACACCATGGTTTTTAATCCTAGAAGAAATTTTTTTAAAAAAATTGGATAAAATGGTATGCCACACCGAGATAAATCCTGCTGAGAAATCCTGGGCTTGGTAAAACAATCATAAATTTTCCTAATATCAAACAAGATTCAATTGATGAATGACAACAGTTTGAAGAATCAATTAAAATGCTCAGTCAGTACTCAGCCTGCGGTAGGCTTTGTTATTTCCCAACTAGCACCATGCAAATGCCTTTACTATAGCAAAAAGCATGTCCATCTGAAATAATAAGACACATGCTTCACCCCACAGATGCTAGAAGACCTAATGTAGCAGATGTTAAAAACATCTTAGATGACTTCACTGCTGCTCTTCATATCAAATAAAATGCACCTGGCCCTGCTAGAATGTGCAGTATGTCAGGGTGAAGGATACACCGGGGAAATGAAGATGACGGGAGCCATTGAATCTACTTTGGCCAATGCTTCTCTTCTCAATCACCACTACCTGTCTCTTTTATTTGTTGTGCCCACTATTAAGTATAGATTAAGGCAATTGCACCAAGGTTTGAGTGGAGGTAACACAGGGCATGTTGCCCAGGGCCTTGTAAATCTGCTGTCCTGAACGCTGGGACTGGGCATAGTAGAGTTTTGTTCAATGGGCACATATCTTGACCTCTGACCTATCCATCAACATACTCATCAGATCAGCCCATTAACCCAACTCCTTCTCCAACTTCATCAGGAAAAAACAAAATATCTCAAATAAAACTGAAATGCTACTTGTTTCACGGCTTATGGCAGCAATATATGCTCAAAAACAAAATCTGAAATTTCAGAAAGAAAATCAGAAATGACAATATAATTTTTAAAACAGGCTGCCATGAAATTTTATTTTTCATTTTCCTGACTTACCCTGACCAACATTTATCAATTTCCCTAACCACCATTCAAATATAACCACAAGTTAAAAGATGAAGAGGTCATGTTGCATTAACCCAAGAAATGTTCTATTCTATGACTACACAAGTCTCAACTGTAAAAATATTTGTCAAAGAGAACAAATATCCATTTCTTTCAACATTAACTGCAGCAACTTCTGTTTTGCAATTGCACCAAAAATTACACCAAGGTACAAACTTCAATTCAAGTAAACTCTGAATGCTAACAAATGACATAACATTTTGTTACCGTTTGAAAGGTACACAAAAAATTGTATAAATATTCTATTTAAAAATGTTTCTCTGAAACTGCATTACGAAACCTAGTTTTGAAATTGAAGTAAAAATTAAGTTAGAAATTAGAATACAAGTACTCTGTTTTTAAAGAATAAAGATTTAACATATAAAACTATCACTTCTACAATTTTCTCTTTTTATTTTGTAACTCTTTCAGTTTCTCATCAATTGTTTCCTCTCCCATTTTCGCTTCTTCTCTCAGGTTTTTTTTTCTTTTTAGCTTTTTCAAGATATTTAATTTGTCCCTAAAGTTTCTTCTTTCTTCTGAATTTCTTGTTGCTTATGGCAGGGGTCCCCAACCCCCTGTCTGCTGCCCGGTACTGGGCTATGGCCTTGGCAGGACCGGGCCAGAGACAGATCTCCTGCCCACATGCATGTGCGCAGGGGTGCCCCACCCATCCGTGCATGCACACGAGTGCCCCTGTCATCCACATAAGCATGCCCACCATAAGCATGCCCCGCCCCCTGTGAGCATGCCCCACTTACCTGTGCATGAGTGCCCCTGCCCACCCACGCATGTGTGAGCCCCGCTCACCCACCCTGCTCACCCGTGAGTGCGGGTTTGCCCTGCCCCCTGGAACACCCCCCCAACAAAAAGGTTGGGGACCACTGGCTTATGGTGTTAAGTCTCCAAGTGTGTAGCATTCATGAGCATGCCTGACTGATGGCAACAAATTCATATTAACTACAACAGATGCAAGTCCTCCACAGCTCAAGAGAGCATCATAAATGTGATGCTGACAGACAACATTTTCTTCATGCGAGTTCTCAATTAACACTGACTTATTAACTAAAAATCCACTTTCAACAGAAACATTTTACCATGAGACAGGATAAGGCACATTTTGACAATAAGTCCACAGGTCTGAGAAACCTTTGTTGGACATCAAAATACCACTGTAAAACGTATCACTTCATCACTTTGTTTTGCAGCAAAACACTAAATCTACCTGTTCCCTTTGAACCATCTTATTCAAAGCTTCATCAAAACAGATAACAAATATCTGGCATTGTTTCAGTAAGATCTGAGAAATATGGTGCTAAGCCAAAAGCAACACATACACTGCATTTATTTTTCCAAGATTAAACTGCTGCGCTATCTGGCTATCTGAGAACTTTCGCCTGAATAACTCATTGATATTGTTACAAGAGTTAAATGACATCTTTCTTCATCACCTGTTGCCAAGCCCACAGGCACTCTACTATCCTAACACAGTTCCTGATTACATAGGCAGCCAATACTAGTTTATGTGGTGGGTAATTTGTTGCCATCTTCATCACTCTGATCATGTTTTCCAGTTTTTGCAGAGGCTATCTCTTCACCCTCTCTGGTTTTACTGTCTGAACTTGTACTTGGCTTTGAACCTAAACATACTGCGATGGACTGCTGACTTGATTTAATTTTCAGGTTCTTCTGATGTAATGGTCCTTGTGCATGAGACTCCACAGCTAATTCCCGTATTACTTAATTCAAAGTTTTTGTAGCACACTTTACAATAACCTTTGCATTTCTCTCCAGCAACTGGTGATAGCCCTGGAATGAAGTCAGGATGAAGTCTGAAATCCTGCCACTGCGTATTAAAAATTGTCCTCTTGGAAGCCATCTTCAAAATTTGGATTCAGATACAGCCATTCACAGAACCACCTGCCTGACACAAAGGTGTTAGCAGATTTGCTTTTGGGCAAGTAGCAGCTTTCCAAGCTGTGAAAGTTTCACTTTCGCTTTCTGATTCCAGAAAGTATAGTGAGCAAATTACAGTAGCAGCAAGAAAGAAGGTGGAATTTAAATGCTTGCTGATAATTTCTGCAATCTAGAGAAGCAGACAACCCTCATTTGCAACCTTTATGGATGGGAGAAGTCAGGGAAGAGGGTGAGAGCGCTGGTACTCTATAAACTCTAGCAGGAACAAGCAATCACATTTGAAAAATTTACTTTGCATGGTGCAGAGTAGAAAGTGCTAATCAACTGTGAAATCCAATAGCAGCAAAACTCATTTGCAACTCCCTGCTGGGTTTAGCAGGAGACAAAACATCCATTCCACACACAAGCATGCCCCCAAAACATGCTTATCTTTATATGTAAGTTAAACACAGTACTAACAGGTAGGGCTGAAAACAGATATTTAAAGTTTGAATCTTGCTAAACCTTTAAACTAGCCTTCCTTTGCAAATGCTACAGGCAGACCTTGAAAATAATGCAGGGCCACAGCTCAACAAACACATTAGGCTGGTTGCTGGGGGTGGAGCTGGGAAATGGCATCATTAAGTTTTACTTGTATTCTGCTACTTCGCTATTCCAGTTGCCATAAGAACAGATCATGCTCTTGCAGCAGCAGGTCAAAAATCCACTGCTTGAATATATTTTGATCACAAAATCCCTGACTTTCCCTGACCAATGTTCATTTTCCTGACTTTCCAGAAAGTGGCAACCCTGTAAAAAAGCAATGTGACATCCAAATACATTTCTAATTCGATTTAGAAAATCTACAGCTTTATTTCATCTTAAGATGATGATGGAAGTGACTGCAATACTTCAAGCTAAAAAACAAACTGACAAATTCAGATTTTAAGAAAATATTCTTTCTTTCAACTATAGGACTGTATGATCTGTGACTTTAGAAATGATTCATTAATGACTTGAATGCATCTAAGCTATCTTCAGCTTTCTCACGTCCTTGCTATTCATTCCTTCAAAAAAAAAATTGACTGGCAACACCTGAAATGCCTATCAAACACATTAAAGTTATTTACAACATGAAACACATTCCTATCTTTATTACAATATGCTTTTTAACAGCACTATCAGCTCAAAATGGAGTTCTAAATTCTACAATGCACCAGAGGCTGCAGCAACAGAACAACGGAACCTTCTTCTCATAGAATCATAGATTAATAAAGTTGGAAGGGGCCTATAAGGCCATTGAGTCCAACCCCCTGCTCAATGCAATAATACAAATAAAAGGGTATCTGCCAGGTGGTTATCCCTTGACCACTGCCACCTTGAAATTGACTCTGGAGGCTTCCCAACCACTACAACACATTTGTGGAGATTGGCCTTCTCATAATTCAGCTAATAATGGTGAGACAGCAGATGTCCCTGCTGCATTCTAGCCACACTTTACAAAGATTGTAGTGTAATAAAACAAACACTAGATTGTAGTGTTATAAAACAAAGAATTGGTGTGAGAACATGGGATATTTTCAAAACTCCTCAACATTTCATGTCTTACAGAAATCCCCTCAGACATGAACATGTTTGGGCCCTTCCTTCTCTCCAGGACTGTCAGAAAGAACACACTAGAAACTTCAACTACAAATTAGAAGCTGGAAGTCTTGCAGCTAACCTTCCTCCATTTCCTACTCAGAACATATCACATTTTATTTATTTATTTATTTATTTATTGATTGATTGATTGATTGATTGGACTTATATACCGCCCCATAGCGCTACAAGCCCTCTCCGGGCGGTTTACAATTTTTAATTATACAGGCTACACATTGCCCCTCCAGCAAGCTGGGTATTCATTTTACTGACCTCGGAAGGATGGAAGGCTGAGTCAACCTTGAGCCGGCTACCTGGGATTTGAACCCCAGGTCGTGAGCACAGTTTTAGCTGCAGTACAGCGTTTTAACCACTGCGCCACGAGGCCACATCATCTACTGTATATATCAGAGGTCAGAAATAAAACTACATCTGCTCCAGTCTGCAAGACTAAGACTAAAAACTCATGAATTTACAAGCAACAATATTCAGCGAGGTACCCAGGAACAGGCTGCTAACAGACAGACAAAAAGAGGGAATGACAGAACTATACTGATTGCAACCTACTGTGTTTACCCATGGTGAGTTCAAGGGATATGTGCCCACTAAATTTTTTAACATGCACTCATTTTTCCTTCATTTATGCTGGTCCTTTCTACCGGAAAGTACAACTTATGACTGAAACATTTCTTGAGCAACTTCACAGCTAGCTTCACAACTACTGTGGGACACTCTTTCACTCTCATCCTTTCTGTGATACAGAAACAGCAATTATAATCAGAAAAATAGAAGATGAAACTTTCTACCTTTTAGAGTTATATATGGCACTCTTGAAAATCCTTCTCAGGAAACAAGTACCATGGAAGTCAACAGAACACAAGTGAACACAAAGTCCAGACATGGATTTTCATCCATGAAAGCTCACAGTGAAATAAAATTATCTCTAAAAGTGCTACAATATTTCACATTCCCCTAATTTCCACCTTTCTGTTTATCAACATGGTGAAAGACTAGCAGAGCTGTATCTTTGGAAGTGGATTAGAGATTCTGTACCCTAAACTCAGAGTTCAGAAGCCAATGTTACAGTGGTACTATAGCACCAGAAAGATGGAGCTTAGCTTACCTTGCCTGCCTCCTATAGTCCTTGGTGCTGTCTAAAAATCTGTGCTAAATAATTTCCCAGACCCCCAGAAGAGGTTTTTTGGGAACATAGGGGGCTGTATTGAGGAGGAGCAACGGCCCTCTTCAAATGTGCTGATGGAAGCAGTTCCATCTACTCTGGATGTAGATGGGTCCTAATGGAAGTTAGATGGAAGTTTTGGATTCTTAAAAGGAAAGAGAAAAAGAGTTGCATACCTTCCCCCAATAAATATTTTAGTAATTTCAGCAACAGTTCATTTTAAGTACAGTATCTAAGTAATGTGACTCTACATTCTATTTTGATTCAAAATAACAGAAATTTGCTTAGAAACCACTAAGTGTTCCTGCCCAGAAATAAACATACCCTTTTCATCCATCTTGGCACATTCTGCGAAAAGGTCTTTTGATCCTGCATTCAACCGATCCCTATGAAAATAGTGAGATTGGAAGAATCTTGTCCAGAATTCTTTCTCTGTCATAGTGTGAGGAACATTTTCTGCATACTTCAGTTTTACTGTAAGTATAATAAAAAGGAATATTAATACTTGAAAGCTGTACAATAATTCCAAATTCCTTATCCTACATTTATCAACCACTTTTTTCTCTGTTCTTCATTGCAAGAGATTTCAGGATGGTGTACAGCATAAAAGAAACACAACACTGCAGTTCAAAAGCAGTACTGGACAGAAATAAACCAAGGGTGGCACTAGACATTTTGATGCTTGAGAGATACAAAATATAGTACAGAAAAGAAATCTAGAACAGAAACTATAAAGTCAAGCAGCTCAATCAGTATTGGACAGAATCTTTCATCACAATCAATGGCAGCAAGGTAGCTAACGGGATACAGCAGGATCCATAAAAGACCCAGTTCTATCCTCCAATATCTATATGTTGATCACTGCTTTTCCTTGCACCTGCTAGTTACATTCTCAAATGGCAACATGGGTGTTTTTGGAATGTATCACATCAGTGCAACAATATACATACATGGGAAGTACACAGTTTGCCTGGATACAGACTATCTGATAGAACTGAGAGATCCCTTGAGAACCACTCAACTGTATTTATTTTGTGCTTAACCTATCTCCCTTCATGTTTAGAAATGAAAAGTGGGAGACAATCTAGAGAGACAAACTGTACAAATCATGATCAAAGATAGTGGCAACCCTCATTTTAAGATTATGCATTTCACTTGTAAAGCAATTTAGGCACACTCAGCCATCATACTTTGTAATTCTGAAATAATGACATCAACCAAGAAGAGATTCCATGAAGGACATTCACTGTAAGGTACACTAATCAATCGACTGGATTTAAACTTTGATTACGCCAGAAGGTGCTCCTGCTATCAGAATGGGGCTTGTGAGATTTTTACCAGTTCCTCTTCCTCCTGAACCTACTTGCTCCCTTTTAATCTTCTTTGGAGAGTCCCCCAATCTCCCTCAGGACAGGCTTCTGGAGGGCACAAGCAGCTGCAGGAGCAGGAGGGAATTGGCAAACAGGACCCTTCTGCATGATCAAATGCCTTCTGTGGATGGAAGCTCTTCTGTGTGCAGAAAACAAAGCCTGGCTCTAACCAACTGTGAGTTAGCAGCCAGAGCAGAAGACCCATGATTAGAAAAAACCCACCTGACATGAGTTGCTTTTAAAACTAAATGGGGAAAATATCTTCAAGTGAGCAACTGAAATGCAGAAAATACAAAAGTATTAAAGAGACTACGTACCTGCAGGATAAGTCCTAAATATAGATTCAATAATATCTGAAGTCAAATTATATCGGAGGCCATTGCATCCATCTGTTTGAGGTCGAACATCAGCCTACAAGAATAAGATAGGAATGTTTAAAAAGGTTGTCTGGTATTATTACACAAGTCAAACAACCAATGCCAATATGTGTAAATGTGGCTCCTTATCCTTCATCATATACTTATTGAAAAATGGAGCTTATACATGTTAGAGACTGCACACATGAACCCTCTTCCTCATTACATATTGTAAACATTGGGGAAGGATGTTGAAATCCAAGGCTTATTTCCTTATTCTTATATGTCAATAACACATTTAGACAAGATGATGGCATTTAATACTTACATAGAAATGGAAAAGGAGGACTGAAGATATAATGCATGTTCAACATGATACAACATATTTAAACTGTTTTTCTATTTGCTTATTTATGCATTCTGTATGTGACAGCAGATAAAACTTTTCTGGAATCAAACAGAGATGAATGACTCTTGTGCTCATTTTTCTCATGGTAAGGAGAGTTTTGCATACATGCAGAAAGTTCTATAGAACTGCTTCTAAGCCAGAGTGTTTTTTTTTGAAGGGTTAGTTTTTTGTGTGACATTAAAACGCTATCCCATGGCTGCACATCTATGTGAAAGGTATGAGCTGCCTAATCGTGGCCCCTTTCTTTATCTAACCATGCACTGCATCATAATACTATTATAAATGATGCAATACAAGCAACAGAAAAACATTCACATATCCTGGTTTCAGACTGTTTAACATGTTGAGAAATAAATACCTTGAACTTGGGGGGAAAAGGAGTCAGGGAAGAATGCATCATGTGTTCACAGTGACCAGCCACAGTCAATCACTTGGCTACCACATTCTAGATCTGATTTTTCTATATGCTTTTCATAAACAATCCATATCCATAACACATTCTGTAATCTAACTAGAATACTACCAAGGCACAGAGTACTGTGACCAAATACTTCTTCCACAGGGTGGAAATACTACACTAACCATAGATATTGCTAGACACTGCATGCCACTTCAGTATATATAATACAAAATGCATCAAGAAATTCATAATCAAAGAGTAAGCACATTATACATATTAGCAAGGAAATTTACAAAAGATTATATCTACAACATTTTAACAGCTGGATTATCTTTTTTTTTACTAGATGGCTTTTTTGAAACAGGGCAGGTCACTTCATATTGGTGTGGCACCTAGTACGACAAAGCCTTCTACTCACTACCAGTTCTACTACGAAATATAAGGTCTCAGACAAAACAATGGGAAGTACAATTTAAAGAGTTAGGGACTTTTAGAGATCAACATTTGAGGAAACAAGATTACAAGATTATGAGTCATGTTTCTGCATGTGCCAAGAAAATATTGTGCACATTCCTGGGCTTTTCCCACCATAGTACTAACTCCAGAAATATAGGAACGTTCTGGAGTACAGTACAGTGCTGTATGAGAACTACATGTGAAAACACAGATCAGCGTCCCACAGAAACTTCTTCTTCTTATTATTATTTATTGTATTTATACTGTCCCACAGAAACTTCTTATTCTTATTTATTGTATTTATACCCCACCTATCTAGTCATTTCGACCACTCTAGGTATGCTGTGCCAGTGGAATTGGGGTTCTCTTCCCATCTCCCTACTGTTGCAGTTTTTTGTGGTACCAAAAGCCTATTCTGTAACATTTTCCAGACTTCTGAAGATATTGGATCCTGGGCAAAAGACCCTCTCTATAATAACAAATACCAGAAAAAGCAGAGCTCTTCAAACTCTGTGACAATTTTTTGAAATTTTGTTGGGCTTACAGCTCAAAAACATATGCATTGTTCAAGCACACACCATTAGACATAAAATACTTTTTAAATTCAATTTTGAAGTAAAAAATTTATTCCACCACCTAAACGGTTTTCAGAACATTAACAACTGTGATTTAGATTTTGTCTTAAATTCAGGCTACAGTAAAATCTAAGATGAAAAATATTTTTTTGCTATCAAAAACCATACATATGACTTGATGACCATACCAGAAAAGCAGCAGAAATGCCAACATCCTGCTTATTTGGTGCTGAAGAATTATCCATGGTATTCATGCTTAAACGGTTGGCCCAGAACTCCTCTGCAGTGATCACCTGACTCACAACAAGATCTTTGTAAAGCTGAAACAAAACAGGATCTTCTTGCAGCATTCTAGTAAGAGAAAATTTTAAATGTTTTAATACTTTTAAGTTTGCTGGATTCTAGAAACTAGGAATTCTGAACAAGTTACAAGGAGTTGACACCCACTCTGCCTTGAGAGTCAAAATGTGACATTCCGGTCACATGATTTGGTGTGCAATTTAGAATCTGAATGGCAACCTGTTAACTAACACCAATTTGCTGTCATGATTTATACACTCAAACTTACGCTGACATAAATCCACAACAAGATTTTGACTATTGGGTTTTGTAATATATATATATCACCTGGGAATTCTGAATTTGCAACTAAGTCCTAAGCACATTTGCTCAGAAATCATTATGAATCAATTCAAGAAGGTTGCTCTCATTGCATCACAGATCTAAGCAATTCATCTGTGTACGCTTTTCTCCCACGGAAACTGGCTTGATTAAAACAGAAAGTCATTTATTAACCATTAAATGAAGAAATAAAAAAGCACAACAAAGATTCAATGTATGTTGTCAGAATGCACTGTTTATTCCTGTATAAAAATCAAGCCCGGTAACTGTTACAATTACTGGTAGGCACAGGAGCTCCCAAGGCCTTAGCCATGAAAACTCTGGCAGCATTACACTGGAGCGCTAACAAATTAACAGGAATGGCTTGTGCTACAATTGACAGCACTGTTGACCCTCCTTTAAAATATCATCCTTACCTGTTTTTCTCCTCAAGTTCTTTATTTGCTTTCCTTTTGAACTTGGGTAACAGCTGCTGAAGAAGATCTTTAACAGCATCTCGCTCTTTAACTGCTGTACTTTCATTAGAAAAATGGAAATTGGTTGTGTCTCCTGCGTGCAGTACCAACTGAAGTTGAATCTTAGCTTTTCCTTCAGGACTTATTTTCTGACCTACAGTTAAAAACATATATATCATTTACATGTCCCTCCCCAAAAGAGTGTATTTGTAACAATAAAGTTACTGTCTTATAACCAGAGATGTGCAACGGATTTGTCTCAATTAGGAGCTCAGCTGGTTTCAGGCCAGTTCTGAACCTCCTAAGGAGAACTTAAAACTGAACGTAAACCCCATGTAATGTTTGTAAGAGGTTCAGAAAAGTCGAGTCTGCCTGTAAAGACATAATTTCTTAGGTGTTTCCCTTAAAAACATTGCAGATGGGAAAGAGAGAGGATATGGGCTTGAGTGAGTGATATTTCCACTTTCTAATCATAGGGCATATTTTATATGAGTCTTCCTGTCATTATTTTCTGGAGTGTAAATCAGGCAAAAATGTGTATGCCTTCCTTGCTTTCCTGATATTTTTATTTGATGTGATTGTTATTCGATGATTATGCACATTTTTGTATTTTTATTGTATTTTATTGCTTTATTTTGTATTGGAAACCGCCTAGAGTGGTCTGGTAGTCCAGACAGGCGGGGTACAAATAAAATAAAATACTGTAAAATAAATAAATAAATAAAAAATAATAGAGTTTTTCAACATATAGAGCAAAGACAGACAAAATGAAACCCTGGGCAGTTTTGCTATTTCTTGCAATCTATGTGATTCCAAAGAGGTACAAGGGCAGAAAATTAGCACTCAATGGTCTACTCAATGCAGAGAGGGCACAAACAGTTCTCATGCTGTGCCATGTTTAATAGGGCTTACTGCCTTCTCACTATTTATTTAACGTAAAGCATTTTTAATTTTTTCCTGCCCCTTCAAATGATAATTTCACCCATTTTTGTCCTCTGCAATGTGCAGATCTTTCAGTGGTAACTTCTTTATGTTTGCTCCTCTTTAAAGCTTCTTCCTTAATACTAGGGAGTTAATTCCACCTCCACCACTTTCATCACAGAATTAGAATTGAATGATATCATGCAATACTTTGTTCTGACTTTCTCCCTTCCCCTTGGTTCTTTAGGGAACAGAAACACCACTGAACAAAGAGAAGCTAAAAATCATAAAGTATTGGTTAAAATATTTTAGTTTTTAACAGAGTCTGTTTCAATACTAAAGGAGAATTGCAATCTGAGACAAGTGTTAGTCATTTAACAGACAGAGCTATGACTTACATTTTATATCTGCATACATATGGCTGATTGTGAATCGGTCTTTGCCTTCAGGGGCCCAAGCTATTCTCTCAGTCATTAGGTAAAGAGCCCCATCTTGTTTCTTCTGACGCACCTTCTTCACTATTAGCAATACTTCTTCAGATGATGTTGCCATAATGGCTACAAATGTACACTAAAAAACAAATATCCAAATCATATTTCATATAATTTGTTTTTCTTAAGAGAGCATTTAGACTTATTTCAAAAGCTTAAAATGTTGAAATAGCATTTTGTGATTTATGTTTTAACTCATTTCCAACAATGTAGCTAAAATATAGTTTTGAAGAACCCCTGCCTAGATAACTGCCGTTAGCAGTGACTTTCTAAACAGTTCAATTATAATGAATGAACTATTACCTAAAAATACTAATTAAAGAGCAAAGAAGCAATACATATGCTGAAGAACTATACAGAAGAGCAAAGACGGCAGATTTCTTAAATTATTCTTCTTTGATAAAGAATTTTTAATGAAGTGAAAGCTGTTCTCAACACAACTGGAAAAATAAATTGCCAGCTATAGATGGAATACCAACTAAAAATCTTTCCAGTTACAGAGACTGCAGAGACAGATTCAGTCACAATCCTAACAAAATGCCAACAAAACTATCTCAGATTAGAAACACTCAATAAAGATTGTGATTGCAAAGAAAGAGGATGCCACGGCTTGTAACTATAGGACTAGTGCATTAGGTTTTTTTACACAACAAAATAATGCTCAACATTTCACAATGAAAATTTTACTATACTTTGAGTAAGAAATGGCAGAATCTGCAATTAGATTCAGAAAGGGAAGAAGTATTAAGAGATCATATTGCAATTATACACTGGGTACTGAAGTGTATCAAATAACTGTAGTGAAAAATCAATTTATGCTTCATAGCTTACAGTAAAGCCTATGACTGTGCACACAGTCTTCAGCTGGCAAAGGCAGCACACAAAGGAATATTTCCAGCACTTCTGGCTTGAAGCTGTGATGGGACAGCAGCAGGAGGACACAGCTCCATCTCCTGGGCTGAATTTTGACCTGTTTGCAACTCCCCAGGGGGGTAAAACCACCGTGAAGAGGTACCATGTTTCCCCCAAAATATGACAGGATCTTATATTAATTTTTGCTCCAACAATGCATGGGGGGGGGGAGGAGGAGGAGAGAGAGAGATAGTTGAGGGATCTGAGGTGTGATTAATCTGAGTAGTGAATAGTAACCTGTGAGATTTAAATAGAAGATTGATGCTTGATGAACCTGAAGTAAATACTTATGAATTATCAAAGAAACATTTGTAATTAATAAACCTGTTTTAAGACAAAGTGAAAACTAAATGGACCTTCATCTTTCCTAAGTAAAGTACGTTGATTTAGTGATCAACTGATGGCAGCATGTGAAATGGTGTTGGTTTGCCTTCATGTGCTCTGTGTTTGGAAGAGAAACAGGGGCCACGAGGGGCAAACATCACATTTTTGGGGAAACAGGGACTGTCACCTTATGTCCAAGACTGGATTCAAATTTAACCCTAAAGATGATCAATCTATTAAAGTAGACTTATTGAAGCAATTATTGATGAACTGGGCTGATTACTTTAAAAAACTGGACATCTTTCATTTGGAATACAATTATTTGACATCTGGGATGAAACAAAATCTGCCCTTCAAACTATTTAAGAATTAGTGAGATCCCACAACGAAGAGGCGAAATTATTCAATGAGCAGTTAAGGAAGGACTATATTCAACAGGAGACAGGGAACAATGAACAAGGAAATGTGAGGGTGATGGATGATGTATGCCAACCAAAGGATGGGCTGGAGGAAATCAGAAAAGAAAATTTAGGAGATTTAATTCTAACCCTGAAAACAAGGAGAATCTTACATGTGCTAAGGGGGGGGGGAGAGAAACAGCAGATTTAATTTAAAATAGCCTGGAAAATCTATTGGAGATAGATCAAGTGCATAGAATGATCTCAGATGATACAAGGGATGGCAGAATTTTTAGAGAGATAAGAATTGGGAAAAGACAAACAAGAGGAGTTACTTAGGAATATGTAAAGGAAAAAAATATTAAGGTGGCCCTCACTGTTGAAAGCATATATACACCTAACTTCTAGAATTCTACGGAGACATATCCTATATATTAGAAAAGGAAATTAAACTGAAATAAGGGATCGTTAATCAGGGTAAAGGCATAACATGTTGGTTCTTCAGGTGAGGTAAAACAAATAGTACTTAATTAACATATATTAGATACGATATTGATATAGACATGACAGAAAATGTGGAGATAGAATGGCTAAACAATGATATAAAGAAAATCTATATAAAATGCTTTGGATAACATTTACTATGTGTTAGGAATCTATTTAGTTATTACTGATATAAAATACAAAGTCAGATGGTTAAATTGCCTCAAAATTATATAGATTTGAAACTAGAATTGCTTTTATTAGGTATTTTACTAGAGAATTTTGAGACTATTGTATACTACCCTGTTTCCCTGAAAATAAGACCTAACTTGATAATAAGTCCTAGTATGCTTTTTCAGGATGCTCGCAATATAAACCCCACCCCAAAAATAAGCCCCAGTTAAGTGAAACCCCGCCCTCCACTATTGTGCAGCAACCAAAAGATGACATGACTGCAATTGAATAAATGTAGATTATTGTAGATAAATGTACATAAAAATGTAGTTAAATGTAGATAAATGTACATGAAAAAATAAGACATCCTCTGAAAATAAGCCCTAATGCGTTTTTTGGAGCAAAAATTAATATAAGACCCTGTCTTATTTTCGAGGAAACAGGGTAGGAGAACAATATTATGATAGTAGCCAATATTGTACACTAAAATACACATAAGATTGGTTAAAATATTTTTAAAATGTCTAGATTTTGAAGGGACAACTAAGAAGACACCAAGATGCAAAAACAAATAATTATAAGCAACTCGTGTAACACGATGTTTAACAAGTACGAACTGAATGTAGATATACTGAAAGATTAATAAAATGTTAATAAAAAAAGAGAATGCTTCAGAAAAAAAGGAATATTTCCAACCAAATCTGTTCAGTCTATAAATAGAATGTATTGTACAGGAAGATGGATTTTACTGCCCACCCGCGCACCCACCCCTTTGTGCAGGCACTCGGGTGCATGCACGAAGTGGTGGCAGAGTGCTTACGCCGGCGCTGGCACACGTGCACGTGCGCAAAGCAGCTGTGGGGGAGGGGAGTGCATATGGGGGGCATGAGGTCTGTTTTTGCAGCCAGTCCGTGCTCAGGCCACAGACTGGGGGGTGGTGGTTGACGACCTCTGCTAAAGAATGTGAGCACTGTGAACACATTTGGCTGATTCCTGGACAATGAGAGCACCGTCAGTTGACCCTTCAAGTCCAGAAGTACCACTGGATTACTTCTGATGTCAGCAAAGAACCTTTTGCCCTTGTTTTTTTCAAGCCATATCATGAAGTGAAGCCAGCCATTATCTCAAAGAAAAATAATACTTTAAATTGAATCCTATCCTTATTTAGAGAATTGTCACCCCACCCATTCAGATATTTCATGTGGCTCTAAAGACACATTTGTTTCAAACTTCCCTCATTGCTTTAATAGAGCTGTAAATTATTCATTAGTTTAAGGTTATCATGTAGCACTATTATCATCACTGGTATTTTAAAGCGTTTTCTTCAAATACTTGTGTCTCAGCAATCAAGATAGTTTTAAAAATACTTGAAAATACTTTTGTTTAATCTGACATGTGCATTCATAACATTGCTTTATAATCTTAAATGCTTTACATTTTTCGTGTGAATTTGAGATTATATTTTGGACTATGCAACATTCATTTGCATGAATGACAGGAGGGCCTGGCGTGCTCAGGTCCATGGGGTCACGAAGAGTCAGACACGACTAAACAACAAGAACAAAACATTCGTTTACAAGAACTGTTGTCTTGTGTAGTTTTTGGAAAGGCCTACTGTGAGTTTGAACAGCTCTTTTGGAATCATTTTAATGACATATGACACTGCATCTGTTGTGATGGGATTATGAAACTATTCCTTATTGCAGTGATTATAATATAAAGAATTCTGGTCAACTTTACTTTACAGAAGGGAAGAGTGATCAAAACAAGTTTCCATTTATGGCCACATTACCAAAGCGAGAATTTAAAAGACATGTAAAATAAACTCATAAAAATAATCATTTTATCCACCTTTTGTGTTATGTTGCTTGTCTTCCACTTCATGATTTCCTACTTGATATATTTTATTTTGTCATATTATCAAGTCATTTAAACAGCTGTGCTAATATTTAAAAAGATGGGACATAAGAGGTAATGATAAGAAATCCTGTTAGTAAAGGGGTGCAAATCTCATGTGTAAGTTGCCACAACTTAAAAAGCTTAGGCATTTGCTGTTGTGTGATGGAGTCATGAGACTATGCAATAGCAATTGTCTATGCTGACTCCTTAATTTGTGGTAATTAACAGTTGAAATAAAATTATATTATGTTATTTTCAACTAAAAACTAGCCAATGTAATCACTCTTTGTCTGGAAATGTTATGTTATTATACTCTGCAACAGACATGTCTAAGTTGTTTTTCAAGACAATTAAATACACTAGCCAAATTTGCCAAATCTAGTAAAGGAAAATATGGGCAAGTTATCATATAGTGGGAAAGCATCATTCAACAATTTGTCAACAGCATAGGCTATATAAGGGAAATGTAAACTCCAGTCCCTGTGCAGTTCCAGTCCTCTGGTGTTTGTTCTGCTCCCCAAACTCCATCCATTATCCAAAGCCCCATCACCTTGTTCATCTCACTGCAAACATGAACAAGGAAAGAGGAATTCCTTGTCATCTACAATGACAGATTAGAGAAGAAGAGACTCTTCCACACTGCCTACTTTATGAACTGAATTTGGGATTCTCCCTCCCATTATTAGAAATAATATAAGTGTTCCCTTTTTATATATCCAACTGTCCAGTGCAACAGCAAGGGCTGTGAGAAGAAATTTTCTCTTCTGAAACAGAAAGAGTAAAAATACGAGATAAAGCAGAACCAATGACATTACTAAAGAACACTAACCCATTCTGATGTTAACTGTCTAGGGATAAGAGGAAATTTGAAACAGAGACCAGAAAACTATTTACCACTTTACTTTTACTTTATTTGGACTTCTACCCCACCCCTCTAGACAAAGTTCACTCTTACTGACCTAAGATGGTAACCTTTTAAAACAAAATGGACAAGTAACTTTCCTCTTTGAACAGCAACTTCAATTGTTGTCTGATTGACTAATTAACTGGTGATTAAAATCTGCTCTTGTAAACTATTAGAGGTGCTCTCTAAAATCTCATATGGAGGCTCTTGTGGGTGTGAATGGATCCCAAAACGATTAAGGCCCAGACCGTTTAAGGATTTCAAGATTGCTACTACTACTTCACATTAGACATGGAAACAAAAAGACAGCCAATGTATATGATGTACTGTTAGAATCATATGCACCAATCTTTGGCCCCAAACAACAATATGTCTACCACATTTAGACATTTCTACCCTTCTTTCTCAGGTCCCAACCCCTTTAGTGAAGCAGGGGAAAAATCTTTTTTCAAAGGACTGCTGATCAGAAATTAAAGTTTTTCTCTGCTTAACAAGAAGAAAAATCTTTCCTTCTCAATACTGAATAGTGGAGAGGATGATGAAATTCCTAAAGGTGTGTAAGTGAGAGAGGAAGGGAATGAAGCAGTGGTCACGGGACTTTGTTATGGGCCCACCAACCCACTTTGAGCTCTTGCTGACATTCAGTCCCCAGAAGACTCCTCTGAGCTGGGCAAGCTACCTGGCTTTTGCTCTTTAAAAAAGAAAGCTTCAGGCACAGAGTATTGCAGATATTAATACTGTAGTCTTAAACCAAACATTTTTCTGACCATCTACTGATGAGCACAGTATCTAAGAAGGGAAGAGAAAAACTGACATTACAGAATAAAAGATTACTTCAAATAGCATCTTTAAGCTTTCTTAAAGCAGCTCTGAAAAGGTTTCTCCTGTGTGTTCCACCCAAACTGAACAGGCTAGATAGGATTTTTAAGATTATCATGCTTTTTACTGCCCTGTAAAGTAAACTTTAATCATTACTACTTCATCTTCTAGAATTACTCTACAAATCCAGAGATCACTGTATTAACCCAAGAATAATGTATGTTCAAATTATAAGTATTAAAATAGTGTTATAAATACTCCCATATTCAACATGAACACCAAGATAAATTAATGCTGTAGTTTCCAAGGATGAAAAAAGTTATCCTTCTGACAGGTATTTAAAATTCCACTATTTCCGTTATGCTATAGTTTCCATGTTCCTTAAAATAGGAAAAAACATAAAAGGGGGAAATCCAGGGATTCTAAGAGTATCAAAACAATGAGGTATCTTCCACTTCTGGACTGAAATATATAAATTATTTCCTATGCAATAAATTTTTCCTCACATAAATTATGTGAATCCAAACAAAAATGTCACTCCCTCCTGTCAGGCAATACAGTACATTGCATCTTTAATAAATATTAGTAAAGAAAAGCATGAACTCTTCACATGCTTATGAGGGTAAATACACTATCAGTTGCTATACACCAAAAAAAGCTAGTAATTCAGTCAGTAGGCATTCAAAAACCTCACTAGTATTCCTCATACCAGACCATCAAACCATGATCCCTTCCTTGTAACTCACGTTACAATTTTAGATTGCAGCGTGTTACAACACTCTCTGAAAAGGGCGAGAAAAAGGGAACGGGGGGGGGGCAAACCTAAATAGAATAGACAAAACCTTACTTTCCTGTGAAGCTCTATCGTGGTATTCCTTATAAAATGAAAGAAGAAAAAGAAAACCAGAGGGAGAGAGAAACCGAAGACCGGCACAAAAAGCGAATACGAACGCAAACATGACAGGGGCAACGGGCACGCTCCCTCCAGCTCGCCACGATATACTGTAGATTCATTCCGCCGCTCCCAGTTCTCCTCTCCGAAACGCCCATAACCACTACCCGACCTCATACAGGACCGAAATCAGAAGCACCCGTCAACCAGAGAAAAAGACGCCGGCGCACAAAATGTGGCATTTCGAGCTCCTTCGATCCCCGCCACACAGAAGCCAAGGCGCGCCAGGCCGCCGACCCCCCGGCACCGTCGAACCCAGACGCGCTCCCTACCGTGCGAAAAGCTACCGAGGGGGGTGGAGGGGGCTGTCGCCCGCCGCTCTCCCTGCCCTGCGGGCAAATCAAGCAGCTCTGAACTTCAAAAGCAGGGCTGTACTAACCGCCTCACTGCCGGCTCGGAGAACCTCCGGCCGCCGCCAGCGCCGCTACCTCCTGGGCCATGGGGAAGCCAGGGAGCGCGTCGGGAGGACCACGTGACCGGAACCAGGATTCTCGCCCTCGGAAGGGGAAAACCTGGTCACGTGAGAGGAGGGGAATAGAAGACTGCCGCCGCCATGATACTTGCCCGCTCACGTGATGAAACCTGTCAGTCGCCAGAGCACTTTCCTGGTCACGTGAAGGCCCGTCCGCATCGCCGCCGCCATGACAGTGTCCTGAGAGGAAAAAAAAAAGGGAGGGAGGGTGACGAAACAATAATAAGCGCTGTTATTCTCGCCTCGTTCCGTACAAGTCTGCCATCCGGACCTGTGTAGAGCTGTTGGATCCGTTTCTTTTCCCTTTTCCGTTCTTCTTTCGGTTCGCTGGAAAGATCCTGCTAGGCTTCTTGGCTTGCCGGCGCCGCACTTGAGGAGGGGGGGAGGGGGATCTCGTCTCCACCCAACGGCGCGAAGCGGGGGGATGAGGGGAGGGCGGAGGGAAGGAGCGAGGCGCCGTCACGTGATGCGAAGGGGGTGGTGGCTGCCGGGTGACGTTGCGCTACGTCAGTCCGGCGCGCGGGTTGCGCCGATGCGCCGCAGAAAGCGAGAGGGGAAGTCACGCGCCTGGGTTTCTGTTTAGGGGCGGGGCCGGCCTGGAACAGGAGCGGGTCTGCGCTGGGAAAGGGGACGGGAAAGGGCGAGCGCCCGGCGGCTGAAGGGAGGTCCCGTGAATGTCGCACCCCGTCAGTGTGAGTGAGGGAGGGAGGGGCGCTGTCTTCCTTTTTTGGTGGGTTTGGAGGGTGGGAGAAGCTCAGCCAGTGGCCGGAAGGAGGGACCCCCTTGGCTTTGGCTGTCAGTTGCTTGACAGCTCCTTCCCAGGAGGATAGCGCGTCTTTTGTTAGGAATTGCCTCTTTCTGGGCCTCGGGTGGGCACCAATATGCAAGAGCTGAAGCAATGTCTTGCATATTATTTTTACTGACCCTCCTTTGAATTGAATAGGCACTTCATGGAAATTCTTAAGGCTACATACAAACGAATCATGTTTTTGTGATTTTCAGCTGCTTTTTAAAACTTGTTCCTAAACCGTGTCGTTGGTGGATAACTTTACTAGGACTTTCAGCAGCACAGCTGCCCTAAACTTAGACCAAAGTAGCATTTGGCAGAGTCCACTTCCTTATTCAGAGAAGACTGATTGGTAGTGTTCCCAGGGTAATCATTTTGGGCAAAATGTCAAGCAGAAGGTCTTTTAGAACCAGAACTTTTTGTGGGTTCGTTATGTGATCTTGGATAGCTGACTTAAAAACATGTGTATTCAAGCTGTAGCTATGCTTTTGGGATGTGTCATGAAGTACTAATCCTCAGCAAGAAACTGGGAAACACACACTCTCATCTCTTTCTGGGGTGTTTCTTAGATGCAGTAAAAAGTTTTGCAGATTTATTTGTGCAAGCATTTAGCATGAGCCTGGTGGCACAGTGGTTAGACTGCAGTGCTGCAGTGAAGTCTTTGCTCACAACATGAGTTTAGTTGTGAGCTTAGGTAGCCAGCTCAAGGTTGACTCATGTTCCCATCCTTCCAAGGGTCAGTAAATTGAGTATCTAGTTGTCTGGGGTGATGGCAATCTGTAATTTGCATAATTAAAAAATTGTAAACCACCCAAAGAGAGATTTCTAAGGACTGTGGGGTGGTGTATAAGCAGCACACTTTATTTCCTTTTTCCCCCATTGTGATATGATCACTTTGGCCTCTTTGACATGAGGAAGGAGAGAGGAAGCTCCCAGGATGTACATCTTGTACTGACCAAAAAGCAGTAAGATATGTGTTTTTGAAGCCCAGAAGAAGACAAGCGGACTCTGCCCCCTTCCAACTGAGCTTGGGGTTTGGGAGAAATCTTTAAACATTATCCTGCTTTTACGCTTACTAGGTGTTAACGTTGGCTAAGAAGAACAAAAGAAATAAACCTTGTACAGTAAAAACAAGAATTACAGGGAAGATAGAGGTTTGCTTTTGCAGTTATTTTGGACTTCTTGTTGCTAGTACTCCTTTTTCAAAGTTACTTTGAAAGTGTTTTGCAAACAATTATTAAAGTTTTAAATTATTATTAATGCTAAGGATTTCCCCCCCAACTAGCAAGTAATTAAAGCAGGAAGTCTTGAACAAGCAGCAGTCAATTGCTGGTATTGGTGACATCATTCTTGCCATGCCAGTGGAGCAAAGTCACAGTTCTTGACCGCTGAGATATTTTTAAATATTGTAATATGTTATAGGCACAAACTACCTTAAAAATTAATCTCCCAAGCTCAGAATCTGGCATTCTAAGAGCTGCATGTATTCTACAATTTATAGAGTACGTATAGTGGAACAAAGTGGGCTAGAGAAGAACTAAGGAGAAAACTGTGTTGCTAGCTATGACTGGTTATTTGGTTTTCTAATGCACTTAAACAGAATGTAACTGCTGTGTTCAGTGTAAACATATAATGAGCATCTTTGGAGTATGTCAGCTGAATGACATGTGGCATCAATTACCTTTAGAGAAATAGAGAGGCTCTTTGTTCTTAAAATGTATCCTGAATTATATAGACTTTTTAAAAAGAATTGTACCCTGAGAAGATCAAATGATCAAGTGCCATCCCACATTTGCAACCCTGTCCTGTCTACCCTCAGTGTGACCATGGGCTTGTAGCCAGAGAAAGTTATTTCTTAAAGTTAAGTTGAATTCAGAAAAGAAGAGGCATTTTATATTGTGTGGCAAATATGTGTTGGTTCCTACAGCGTACTAGAACATTTCAGAGGGACTTGATATATGCTAGGAGGAATTTTTTTTTAATACAGTAATAAAACAAAACTTTTAGCTAGAACAGTTCAAACTAAAAGAGCAAAAAATATAATTCGAGTGATTAAAGATAAAACAGGAAAAACTGTAATTTAATGAAATAAAAACTAAAGATAATACAGGAATTCTCTCAAAATTATATAAGGGTAACAGTGTATCAAAAGATATAGAAATTTATATCAAAGAAAATGTTAAGAGTAAATTATCAGAGAATGATAAAAAAAGATTTAGATAAAGAGATAAAAGAGGAAGAGGTTATCAGTAAGCTAAAAATGGTAAAACCCCAGGTTTTGATGGAGTAGGAGTAGAATACTATAAAACTTTTAAACCAATATTGATCCCTAAGCTAAAAGTGCTCTATAATGAAATATTGGAAGGAGAGCGAATACCAGATTCTTGGAAACATTCATTAATAACTCTTATCCCAAAGCCCAATAAAGATTTAACAGACCCAAGTTCATATAGACCTATTTCACTATTAAATCAAGGTGCAAATATTTTTACTGCAATACTTGCAAATAGAATTAATAAGTTTATTGCAAAATATATTAAAGAGGATCAGAATGGTTTTTTAAAGGGTAGGCAAATGGAGAACTTAACTAGGAGGGTGTTGCATATTATATACAGTATAGAAAAAGCTAAACTGAAGGCAAGTATTTTATCATTAGATATATTCAAGGCTTTTGATTGCATGGAATGGCCAACATTAAAGATTTTGCTAAAGGGTTGGGGTTTTGAAAAGAAATTTAGGGGGATAATAGACCAATCATATTTAGAGAATACGTCTGCAGTAATAGTTAATGACCTGGATCTTGGTGTATGCCGTCAGCCTTTTATTGAGCCATATTATCTTTGTGAGTCTAGAGCAGGGGTCAGGGAACTTTTTTACCTTTTACCCCCTAAAAAATGTATACATGCCGACATTACCCCCTTGATTTGAAAGGAAGGATCTCGGTCACACGTGGCCAGTTGAGCGCTGCCACCTGCACCTGGGCTGCCTCCGCCTCCTCCACTGCCACCTTGCGGGGCCACTCTCAGTCCTTGGCCCCATGGGGGCAGCTCCCTTTCTCTGCCATCGGGTGGCTCCTGGGCCGCCGTTGAAGAGCAGCAGGTGGCTCGCATGCTGGGGGCACCCGACACTGCCTCCTGCTCCAGCACCAGCTCCGGTAGCTGCTCGCAGGGGCGGCCGCATTGGGCCTTGGCATCAGAGCTCCCGCAGGCCTCGCTGTTGAAGTCCCCTGACAGCTGCCGCACGGAGAGCAAGAGGCTCTACCAGACCTGGCCGGCCAGCGAGGATGCCCTGCTGAAAGAAACCGTGCGGCCGGGCGAGTGCCGCTGCCACCCGATGGGCTTCTCTGGGAATGGGGAAGGGGCATGGGGCAGTGGTGGCCCGGTGCCGGGAGGCTGAGCTTGGTCTGGGCTACAGTCATGGCTGTGCCCTCCCCCCCTCCACTGCAATCCACCTCTCCAGGCACTGGAAGGAGAGGCTCCTTCTGGCTGGGGTGCTCTGGCCACTCGCCCCTGGCTTCGCCTTCCACCATGGCTGCCTGTCACCAGCTGCCAGCCGCCATGGCTTGGTTGCAGCCAAGCCGGGGAAGGGGGCGATCGGGCAGAGGAGGAGGAAGAGGCAGGAAGGGGATTAGGGTTGCATCTTCATTATTCCCAAGATTTTCATTTTTATCCCATTTGGGGTAACTTACCCCTGTTTCCTGACCACTGGTCTAGAGAAAATGGTAGCTGCTCTGCCAGTGCATTTATCAGGCTCAACATCTAGGTAGAGAGTGTCAGAGATTGTACACAAAGTCATGAACAACCTCCAATTCTTGAGTGGAGATAGTAATAGAGGGAAGTGAGTCCACACCCTGGCCCATGACTTATATTTTATTTATTTATTTATTTATTTATTTATTTATTTATCTATCTATCTATCTATCTATCTATCTATCTATCTATCTATCTATCTATCTATCTATCTATTTATTTATTTA